CCGAAGCTCTGATACCAAATGATATGAACCCAGAGGGATGGATTCGTTTTACGGATCTATCTAGGTTGGAAAGCTCATAATTAAGAAATTAAAAGAAAAAAATATGGATTGAGGTAAGAAATGGAAGAACAACGCCACAATCCCTAAAGATTGATAAGTTGAGGAAGATTCGCCACTTTGAATTAGGAAATTCAAGGATAAGAATCAAAAGTAGTTCCTAAGAACCTAGAGAGAGAAAATCCTCTCAATTGGAAAAATATCCAAATTCTGAATAATTCATTTTCTCCCCAAACTTTTACAAATGGTTCCTATTTATAAGCTTAGATGGGCAAGATGACATAAATTCCCACTAACACTTAATATTGACTCTTCACTAGCCCACTAACTAAGCAATAAATTCCCACTAGCATTTATTTCCCCTTAGCAACCTAAAAGGCAAGGCAACCTATCATATTTATTTAATAAAATAAAATAAAACGAAAATTACATTAAAAATAAGATAATGAACTTATTAATTATTCAGTCCCAAACTACTTAAATTCCTAGTCCATTATTGCTTCTTCTTGATTCACATCAACTAGTTATGCTATTGATAAAATATTTGTATCTATCTTATTCCTATGTTTCCTTTTTTCACGATAGCATTAGATTCTGTCTCCAAAGATGCACACCATGAGGATATCAAGTTTACTTGCGAGGATGTCAAGTTGCTTGTGATACACCTGTGTTTTTCCTCTTTAGGTGGTATTTTCTAGTTATGTCAATATTTTTGGGTATGTAATTGTTTTATTCCAGCGGGTAACCATAGGGTAGGGTGTGTTGTGAGTGGAAAATGATGTACAGGTAGTGGATAACCAATGTAGTCAAAACAGAGCGTGCCATCTAAAATCAGAAAACTGGTCATTGAAAAGAAGAATATAACTAATTACTCAGCTTAACAAGCTGGTCTACAGTTCAAAGAAGTCAATGACAAGAAGAGAGCTTGGTATTTCTGACTTTGTGTTGATGAAAAAATTACAATGTCGAAGGCAGTTTTCTATTGAGCTGACTTGACTTTTGACTTTATAATCTTAAAGCTTTCTATAGCAGGACGACTTCACTGCTAAGTGCTCACAAATTGGATTTGAATCAATATTGATGCTACTTGCCCTTTTGCATAGTAGATCACGGTGAATGGATTTATTTTCCTCATTACAATTGATGCTCCAGAAATCACAAAAAACATCCATGAAACTTCTGGTTTTTGTTGCTAGCCTGGATCTTTAGTTTTCTTGCTAGTTCGTTTCATGGGGTTTAAAGATTTTGAAGAGTGCACTAGCCTATATTCCCATAATGGAAAAAACGTGTGGCACCAAAGCAACTTAAATAAATATGAAGAGAAAAGTAATACTTGAGACCTGAACAAGAGACTAAAGAATATGTATACTGGTGATTGATTATACTGTACGAAGGATACATGAATATATAGACACAACGAGAAGCAAAAAATAAGGAAAAATGGAGCTAAATCTAAATATATGATCCTAATTACACAATGTATAGGAAATCTCCTGAAAGCAGGCCAATGAGGCCATCCACGTAAATACAAATTCAATCTGATATAAAATAGAAACAATGTCAACTACACCAAATCTGTATCATATCTCCTAAAATATCTCTATAATATTACAACAGTAATCATAAAAGAAAGCTAGCTAAATCATATAAAATACGGAAAAGAAGGAAAAAATTGATTGAAAACAAAAAAAATTGGAAAGAAAAGGGATTCTTGCTTTGTTGGGGGTGCAACATATCAAATCAAAACAAAAAAGTGTAAAACTATCACAGAAAGTTACGAAACAAATCAAATAAGAAAATGAATCAAGAAATATAATGAAGTTTAAAAATAACTCATTAGAAATTATCAAAGAAACTCTGCTATGATAAAATAATAAATTTTGAGACATCATCTGATATTCTGACAAAAACAGTCAATTTCTAAGAGATTTTTGTGAGTGTTATTTTTAAAACAGAAGATCATAGACTATGCTTTTAATTTTTCTTTTACAATTCATGTGATAAATTGCACAATCAGATGGTAAAACCCTCCTTTTCAAAGTAAGGCGATTATAATTCTAGGTCCCTGCCCAAAAAATACTTCACTGGTTGACCATTTCCAAAAAAGCTTTAAAAAGATTGTGACAGTACCCCCCTTTCCCAAATAAATACTCAGCAGATCTAACTTATTTGTAAAAAGTCATAGATTCAGAAATTACTTGTGGCAGAGGAAGTTGCACAAGAATACCATGAATGGATGGATCTCTGTTAAATCTCCTGATTTCATTTTGAACATCTGTTTCTGCACAATCAGCGGGTAATTCAGTCACCAAAGACTTGAATCCAACTTCTTCACAGGCCATTATCTTGTTGCGAACATAAGTTTGAGAATCCCTTCGTTCGCCCACTAAAATTACAGCTAATCCAGGAACTTTTCCTAGGCATTTCTTCATTTGTCTCACCTTAGCCGCTATTTTTGATCTGATTTCCATGGATATCAACTTTCCATCCAATACTACAGCAGTCTGCTCATTAACTGAGCAAACACCAACCTCAATACAGTATCTAAGGAATGAAATGTAAAGAAGGAAATTAAGAATGCCTAATAAAAGAAAAAGAAAACCATCTATTCATAGGTATAGAATCTGAAGAGTTTGAATGGCATTGCCTGTGGATACACAGTTAGTCTCGTACTCGTAGCCTTTATTGCAATCAATCAAGAGTTATACTCACAAGCTAACATAAAGAGCCAAACAGTTTGTTAGCATATGATTTGGATACATAAATTAATCCAATAGAGTTCACTGTATTCTTCTTAAGCACGTGACTCTTGCAAAGCCATACTTCTAGCCACCATGTGGTTAATTTTGTTTCTTTTCCTTCAAAGGTCTCAAGAGGATCACTTCTAGTTATTAACATTTATTAAAGAAACGGTTGTCAAACACACGAAATTGAATAAACCAAGAAATCACATACAGACACTCTTGATCTGTCAATACTTGGAAGAAGAGGAGAATGACAAGACAATTAACATTGGAAGAGAATTGGAAGTAATATGTTGTTCACAGGAGTCTATAAATGACAACAAACCCAGCTTTTGCTCAATTAAGTGAAAATACTACAGTTGAACAGCAACAAAACATCTAAAATGATAAAAGTTAAGAATCAAACAAATGAAAATAATAGTCATTCCAAGGGAATAAGATAGTTAGTTACTTACAGCTTTTATGTATTGCTGGAATACTCCGACGTGAAGAAGGAGTCCAGATGTCAGGAAGGTCCAAAGATGCAAGAGGTGGAGACATTAAAATTTGGCCTGATTGATTATCTTTCAAGGCATGAAGAAACCTTGTTAGTGGAAGACTCTTGCCTAGATTTTTTGTCCTCCAAACAGCCATCAAACCCATTATGCTTGTAAAGTTGTAATTGGTTCCATTTCTGCCTGTAGCAAGTTTATCGTGGAATCAATGCTCTCCCTGTGTGTCTTTCTCTATACAAGGTTTAACAATCAACATAACTTGTGGAACTGAAAGAAATAAGGGAGAAAAGTTCAAATTACATTGTGAACCTATACATGATGACCATGGACAAATAAAAGTTACCCAAAGGCCAAAGCCTGAGATTCAAATTGATTGTAAGAAGATAAGGAAATATTTGTATAGAAAAACATCTAGAACCGCTTAAAGACCAAATCTACGCCATTCTTGATCCATTTGCTAAACAAAATGAACAGATTGAACCCTTTCAGTGATATAGGATAAATTAAACATGAAACACGCAACACTAGTTACGAAGTAAGCAAGAATTTCACGGAAAAGGAAAGCAATAAGAAAAAGGTAGCTATGAAGGCATCACACCAGTCTTTTGCCGTTTAAGACTGGTCGCCGCCGTGATGTGCTCAAGAATCTAGTTTTTATTTATTTATTTATTTCATAATGAATCCAGTCAAGTGCTTTAATTTTTTAAGGTTAAAATTTTTTTTTTATTTTCTATAATTTTACTTATTTTTTATATTTTTTTTTACTTTATATATAATTTAAGATGGATTTTAGTTTTTATATTTGTATTTTTTTAAATTATTTTAGTTTTTAATGTATATAAAATATTAATAATAGAATTAAGAATTAAAAGTTAGACTTTTTTAATATATATATTTTTATTTATTTAAATAATTTGGGTACTTGGTCCTCCTTTTTCTTTTTAAAAGTCTAGTGGGAAATCAATTGTCCAGCAATCGATTTTTCAATTGAGATATTTTATTTTTTATTTTTTGTTTTCTATTTTTTTAAAAGTTTAAAATTTGATTTTTATTTAATTTAAAAATTAAGAATTTGAATAATTTTTTATTATTTAAATTTAATATTTTTAAGAATATATATAATAGTATAACTATATTTAAATTTTAAAAATTATATTTATTATTTAAATAAAATTTAAAAAATATAAAAAATTTTAATAATTAATTTTTTATATTTGTAAATATGTGCAATTTATTTAATATATTTAGTTCGCATTAAAAATTATAGATAATTAAATTTGTTATTAAAAAATTGTAATATTTTTTATTATATATTAAAATTGGAATTAAAAATTTAAAAAAAATGTTGGTATGAAATGACAAATTAAAATTATAGAACATGATATTTGTGAAAAAGACACACAACAAAATCAACTGAAATTGAGATGTAAGCCATGAAAAACCATCCATTTAAACTTGTTGACTTGAACTTCATTGACGGTAATGGTATTTTTTCTTAGAGTGACATACATTATTGCACAGAGAACATCTTTTTTATTGTTCTGGTTTAATCATATCTATTTCAGTGGGTATTCAGGATGACTTCAGACGACATTTTTTATTTTTGATTTTTTCATAGATTTTGTATGATTTGCAGTTCGTCACACTCTGGCTAGTAAAATTCTTTGGATAATTCATCAAATAATTCATTATACACATTGTAAAGTGTACCATCCTGGTTTTTCCTCCATATCGGAATAGAAACATATTCTAATGAGTATATTGGATATGTGTAAGATATGTAATGGTGGTAAACATGCTTACATGTGACAAGAATATGGGAGAATGACATGTGTAACTTATGAAATATGCAATAGTCACACCACTTCTCATCCAGTCTAATTGTGAATGATCCAGTCGGTCATCCTTCCCTTATGTTAATGGTCTCTTGCACCAGAAAACATTTACTACGATGATCAAACTTGAGGACATGATGACTATTAGCCTTGGATTTTACATCTCTCCTCGCTCTATTTATTATTTCAATATAAACTTAGCCAACTTTGAGTTTAACATGACTTCCTTCCGTCTCAGGATGAATAATGAATTACATCCCTTATAAGTCAACATGATAATTGCATATATTAGAAAATTTATTGTTTTCCTAAGAATGGAATTTATTGCCTCTGCTAAGTTGGTAGTCATGTGTCCCCATCGTTGGGCACGGTCCCATGCAAGAGTCCATTGTTCTCTAGGAATAGTGCTAAGCTAATCAATTACACCTTAAGTTTCTGGTTCGCTTCCCAATATATTAAAGTGGTAATTGAACATAGGCTCAAACATCCCATAAGCTGCGAATTTTTGAAGAGCAATAAATCATCAATTTATTATTGTTGAAATATAGTAAAATAAATACGAATAAATATTTAATTGATGATAAAAAAAGAAATAAAAAAGAACTACATACCCATGTTGATGATTATTTTTTTTTCTTTTTGCATTCCTGAAATGTCTCATGAAATTTTGGGCAATGTGGCGAATGCAAAACACATGCACTAAGTTCTCTGGTGTCTAACCAATACTTTGTCTAGAGTGGACATTTTTTATGGACTCGTGCCTGTTGGAGATTAAGCAAAGGCTATCTTGAGGAAAAAGATGTCTTTTTAGGTAATGTACAAAGAAATACCATGAATTTGTTGTTTAACCCTTAATAATGGCAAAGGCAATTGGAAATATTTTGTTGTTACCATCTTGTGCCACGACCACGAGGATAGTTCCTTTGTATTTTCCATACAAGAATGTGTCATCAACTTGAACAACGAGCTTTCAGTATTTAAACCCATCTATACAAGGTTTAAATGTCCAAAATACTCAATAGAATTGAACATAATCAATAACCATTTCACCTTGTTGGTTGTATAGTGGCCTTGTCTGCTTCTCAACAACAAATCCATTAAGAAATATTTTCATGGCATTCAACAACTTGGATAAATCATGGTATGATTCTTCCCAATTTCCATATAAGTCTTTAGTTGCCTTTTGTTTTGCCATCCATGCTTTTCAGTACAAGATTGTGTAGCCTTTCGCACTTTTGATGTGCGCTATTATTGTTGGTATTGAAATTGATGGATCACTTTCCACCAATGGAATAATACTTTTGCTTATATATACATAGCAAAGGTTGACATGATCTTGTGAGATCACTGGAGATGAAAAAGAACGTTCATTTATTAGCCTACGAACCTCCCTTTCTGGCTTTTGTTTAAGAAAGGCGCTCTGCACCTCCAACCACATTCATCATTAGCACATTGTGCAACAATTAATGTTGGAGACTATTTCTCGATCCTGTAATACAAGCCTTTTAACAAGATTCTGAAACATAAATGGATTGTCTTGAAACAGGAATAGGAAAAAAAGAGGAACATGACCCTAACTGCGACTTACTGGTAGAACCAAAATTATCAAAAGAGAATTGTGACCTTAATCGTGACTTGCTAGTAGAACCAGCACTATAAAGTTCTAATCCAAGAACAAAAGAAAAGCTCTCACAAAGGGAAAACTCATATATGTATTAATTTCAAATCTGCCTTAGATGCTTATAAGAGGGTCCTATTTATAGAGTAGAATAACAACCTTTCATTTAATTGAATTAAATTCCTACTAACCCCCACTAAGTCTCCACTAGGCATTTAAGTCCCACTATCATTTATTTTCCACTAAGTAGCCTAAAAGAAATGGAAAACCATTTGATTTATTTAATAAATATAAATAAAAAAAATTACAATAAAAATAAGAAAAAGGCTTAAATAACTTTTAAGCCCAAAAGCTAAGTAAACCATCCAAATAAAGTCCAACCCACTGTAGCATCTTTAGTAATTGGTGTTGGGCTAATTAGGCTCTAAAAAAAATTACAATAAAAATAAGAAAAAGGCTTAAATAACTTTTAAGCCCAAAAGCTAAGTAAACCATCCAAATAAAGTCCAACCCACTGTAGCATCTTTAGTAATTGGTGTTGGGCTAATTAGGGGGAGGAATGACATATATAGGCCACGGAATGCATGAAAGTTGGCGCCATCCATGAAGAGTCAAAGTTAGCGCCAAGTTTGAATTCAAATTTGAAATTTGAATTCAAACCTGGACGTCCAAGTTTGGTGCCCATGTGGCCGGTCCTCATCTAGAAGCTTAATTGAATTTGAATGTAATTTGAGGTTCATTTGAAGCTTTACATGTGCAGCCACCCTTGGCACAAAACATGTGACTCAAATGCAATTCTAATTACAAATGTAATTAAGTTTCCATGATCCATGCTTATTATGTATTTCCTCAAAATTCCTATTCTATGGGCCTAAACAATGGCCAATCAAATACAATGGAAAGGAAAAATTACAGGAATTAAAATGAGCCCAATATTGGGTATTAAAAGCCCAAAGGCCCATCAAGCCCAAAACTAGGCCCAATGAGCCTAAAGCCCAAAAAGTCCTATACTAAGGTCCATAATACAAGATCAAAATATATGAAACCTATACTACCATGATATGTACAAAACATAAGGAAATGACTATAACAAGATATGGCCCATGTAAAGCTCAACTTGGGCCTTCAAAGCCCATCAAGCCCATTGGGCCTTGGGAACTTTTCTTTCTTCCCCTACTTGGTGACAAGTGAAGATTTGCTCCACTTTCATTTCCCAGTCCAAGTAGGCATCCACATCTTCTTTTCCATGGAAAGGAGGGAGATCAACTCGTGATTCCCTAACCTTTGGCTCTCTAATTATTCTCCTAGGAGTAGGTTTGTAATATTCATCCACATTCAAACTTCCTACATCCTCTTGGTTTGTGGAGCCATGGGAACTTTTTATGACTTTTCTTTTTCTTTAAGAAGTACCTCTTGTTTCCTCCAAAGTTTTAGTGATTCAATCTCCTTAACAATTTGAGAAAAACTTTTAGGTGATTCTAAATCACTATCACTTTGAGATGGATTACTCATGATTAAGCAAAGAGATTTTATATGCTATGCCAAATATATATATATATATATATATATATATATATTTTCTAGGAATAAGACTAGCACTTGGAAGTCTAAGTGTACAAATTGCACTATCAAGGGAGGTGAGCTACTAAGAGCCACTTAATAACCAAGCCTTTTCAAGTGGAAATCACTAAACTTCCTTATGGTAATCTCAATTCCACAAAACTTTTCACAAATGTTTAATGATTTATGATTTTCACAAGTGTTATTGAATGCAACTAAATGTGAAAAATTTAAAATCTACACATTCTAGTCGAATTAACAAACCAAAGCAATAACACCAAATGGAAAAAAAATCAAAAGAGCAAATATTAAGCAACTAGTCGGATTTCCCTAAGTGGAAGCTTGAAACATATGAAGTTTCCAAGCCACTTCCACTAGTACTACAAGTGAGTGATCTATAAGGGATTAGATATACCTGACCAGCTTCTTAATACTCCCTCCAAGCTATTACAAATTGATTGAATTCAAAGAAAATGCAAGAGAAATCAAACTAATCCTAAAACAGAATTTTGTGATGGATTTGGAGACCACTTTAGTGACGGATTTGTCAACCAAGTTGTTTGCAATTGTTTTAGTGCT